GTGACTGTAAAAGTTTTGTTTAGTAACGTTATGCTTGCGCATTCAAAATATTTTATAAACTTGCAAACACTGTTAGTTGTGGGTTTGATTATCAAACAAATCAAATGAATAACGTCCCTTCTGGCACTTTCTATAATACTTTTTCCAACATTTGTGATCATTTGGTCGAATTACTGATTACTGATTAGTTCAAATAGGTAATTATTATTAGTTATTGAAGTAATGTCCGTTCTAAAAGATTTTCTCCTAGAGTATCAGAAATACAATCATACTATTCAGTCACCTATGACTATTATTAATTTGAAAGACTATATACTTAAGACACTGTATTGTATTATTTTAATTTTTTTTTCAAGTATAAAATTATTTATTTTTAAAATATTATGATTTATTATATTTTAAAAATAGATATACTCACAAAAAAATTATGTGAGATTTCCAAGAACTTGCGTTTTCAAATTGATATGTTATAGAATTATTTATTTTCGTGCAGTAGGAACATATATTTTAAGGGATGTATAGTAAAATCTCATATATATATTTAATATTTATGTATATATTATTATGATTTATGGGTAAACAGAACCTGGTTTTATTACACAATAGGTAATTTACTACTGGCTTGTCAAAAATATTGGAACTAAAACGTACATTTTTTTGTAAAACAATTTTTTTTTGTCAAACTTGACAAATATGCATATATTTGGCCATGATTTATTTCATATTTGTAAATCCTTCATACAACCGAATCTACAGTTAAAGTATATTTCTTAAGACGCACTTACAATTTTTTTTTTGATTTTGAGTTAAGTGAGAAATGTTTTGGCTGTCAAATTATGTGTGTTTTTATCTTTTATATCTAACGCCATCTTTAAGAGCAGTAAAATGCTTCTATCTTCAACTTTTAGGTAGGTTTTGGTAGGAAATCGGATCTCAAGTCTGGAAGTAACAGATCAAGAAATACTTGAGACTTACTATACCGAAAAACGACTTCCCCGATTTTTTAAAAATTTATCATTTTTCCCAATCTTTATTGTATTATTAGGAAACTATTATATTCTTAAATAATCGTTATCATCGATACGGTAAAAAGAACGCTTATATAATTACATTTTTAAATTCGATAGTAGGTATGAATAATTTCCTAAATTGAACATCTGTTCATCTTGTAATATTAACATTTAAAATTGGCCTTAAAGCTTATTATGTACTCGTACCTATAATAAGGTTGTTGTGAAAAATCGATTTCGTTTCAAATGTATTCCCATGCAATTTTAACGGTAGAAGTAATTTCAGTTTTTATTCAACTTGTGCTTTGTTAAGTGCCAGCCCTCATTGTCCATTAGCTTTTCAGTTTGTTGAACTTTGCAGTTTCTCATTTGCATTATTTTTGTATTAGTATTATACTATTATTAAACCGCAATCCTTGGATATGACATGGGGAAAAACGTAGCTTACAAAAAATGCAGTCCTATCTGCGTTTTACATAAATTATAAAAAAAAAAGAATTTTGTTCATTTACATTATCGGAATTCACTGTTACATGTTATATGTAATCAATAGTTTCAATTAAACATTGCGGCAAAGGCAAAGCGAATTAAAATAAAACACTGTGCACTACATCTGCACAATACTAACACAGTGCTCAACCATAAACGTTTGATTGAATCAAATAATGTTTTTAAGTACTTTTTAAGGTATTCTATTTGACGTAATGTCGATTTACTAATAGCCAATATATTATATGAGTTAAATAATAATGGTGTCTAAATAGTTTGTTCAGCGCTCTTTGTATAAAAAAAAATATATATTTGTATTTATGCATATGGCACAATGGTCATGTTTTTCCGTTATTGTTTGAAACCTATACAGTTCGCTGTTGTTAATTATTTTTATACTTTTTTGTACCTAAATGTTTCATTTTAATGGACGAATTTATTTTGTACCATGGCTGACTGATTGAATAGTAGATGAGATAACTTTTAACTAGATTTATTCTCTAAAAGTTATAAACAATGCTATATTTTAAGTATATATTATGTATATTATGGTTAAGTGTTAGGTTAGGTTACGTTAGGATGCTCATCTTCTTACAAAATATAGAATATATTATACGAGTATTTGTTGTTAATAAAATCATTAATATCATTATAATTATTTAAATTTTAATATTTCAAACGTAGTTATATTTTAATAAGTAAAAATGTAATTATCATATAATTTGTCTTGAACTAAAAAAAACTAAATCGGTTGATTAAGGCCAAGTTGAATCAATTTCACACGAGATAGTTGGTTCCGTAAATGCATCATCGGTAAAGCCGATTAAAATATAGAATAAAGATAGTATGGTTATATTTCCAATAATTTCTATTTTTTACCACTCAGTATTTTTATGTCGGTATACCTAATTGATGGTTTCCTCAAATCTAGGCCATTTAAGATGCAAATTAAGGTGGCATAAATGTTTGCTGAGATAAAAAGCCAATATTTAGCAACCGCAGTCATATGTACCACAATTATCTATTTTAAAAATACAGTGTATACATTATATATAGGTAAATGCATATCCATACACAAGCGAGAGACGTACTTTTATATCACTTCAATTGTGGTTTCGAGTAGCGTGGTGGTAACTACCTAGTAAGTAGTAACTCGACATCTTGCATTATACACTATATTAATTACACATTATTGAAGAATTTTGTGGTTTATAAATCGAAAAAAGTATAACGTATACAATGCACGTATAGTTGTAGGAACACCGTGGTTTCGCTCATATAACAATGGTATTGATATATTTCACAGTGATTGGTACATACACGTACACGCGTAGTTATAAGTAACATTTAATATACTTAAAAAAATTTATTTTTAAACGTAATGTAGTCTAATATAATACAAGTCTTACCATAGATTATTTGACCCGTATCTTGTATAGACGTACGGAACACTAATTTCAACATCAATCCTATTTAAGTCTTAAAGTCTATACATATTACTTTGTAAAGTTTTAAAGTAGGTAAAAAATGTATTTAAGTTGGAATTACTTTGTTGATAAAACTTGTAAGAGCCTTAAATATTATGTTATCAATCTTAAAAAACAATAATAACTACCACTTACATCGATGACGACCCCGAAAGTCGATGCATCACTTCTAAATAAATTAATACTAATATTTAATACCTGTTCAATATGCAAGTATAATACCTATACAATTAACCGACGAATACTGCAAGGTGATTTACCAAGCATGCTCATCTCCATTTGTTTTTTATTTAATTTATTCATATACCAACTTATGAGATTTTAAGTATACTCAAGGATCATGTTTTAAATTACTTAGATTTTTTATACCATTTGAAGAGTGTGAGTGGCCATACAAACTCCTTTTTTCAAATGATAAAAAACCTTTTTTATTGTAAATTGTTAAGCAGATTATTTTTTACAAAATGTTGGGGTTCTTATCTATTAATCAAAACTCGAACAAGTAGTGTTTGAGTTATTATTTTAAACAGTGACCAAAATGTTCAAACCATTATAGCTCCCGATATCTTCTAAATTTATTCATGGACCTTCTGTGCATAATATGCGAAGTTAAAAACCCTTTATACCTATACTTGTTTAAATTTAAATTAATACACTTACATCAACATTTTCAAAAATTAATTGACTTCACAATTTAGTCTTTACAGTAAAAAAGAAGTTTATATTGCCAAGGACACTCCTTAAATATTATTAAAATCTAAATAATTGAAAATACGGTCTTTACAAATACTGTACTATAAAAGTATAAACTCTAAAGTATTGATTAATTGTATAATGAATAGTATTTATAACATACGAACATTCATACGCATTGTTACGGAAATTATTTTTTAATTTGTGGAAATTCAAAAATGTAGAAGGTTTATGATATTTTCGCCATTTATAAAATAAATATATGTGGTAGGTACCTTTATAATAAAATAATATCTTATACAATTTATGGGATATTTAAAATTATTTAATATTTTTATGGGACTTCATTGATTTGTGACGTCGATGATGTAAAGCATTTGATACAGTTGGTTTCAGGCCCCTTTTGGTCTGGCCATCTTATTCTGTTCTCAAACACTATAATGTATTACATAGATCCTAGCTTTTTTTTTTCACTTTGAACCGATAACCAGGTGTATTGTTTAATTAGTGTTACTCTAATGAAGTAATGAATCAACTAACCGTAATGTTAAGTGGGAGATATAATTCCCTATGTTTGCTCATTGAACCAACAGGACTACCTACGTCAACCAAAGATTCCGATTGGTTGATCTTCTTTTTAATTATCAAGTTACAATGCCACATTATTACTTTCGTTTTTATTACAATTTTCAACTATAAATAAAAGACAATTTTAATATTTTTTGATAGATTTAACATGGAGATTGTTTTGTTCGTTTGGTTATAAATCATAAATAACTAATTAACTTACAATAATAATGAAAAACGTAAAATAATATGTTTTTAAACGTTGAAAATCTTCAATATAAAAATAATACGGTCCTCTCATTTGATATTTCTTGAAACAATAACCAATAATGGCAATAACCCATGTAATCTAACCCTTCACAAGACCCAGAAACACAAAGGCAATCCCCTGAACATACATCTACATTTTACAAACGATTCCATTAAAAACTAAGTATAAACAAAATGTCATGACGAGAAAAAATTGCACTCGGATCCATTTTTTAGTATCATAATTGTTATTTTTTTTCATGTAAATTTTATACATAATATTATTTCTCTGCAAGGTAATTTCTATTGATTTCTATTCTCATGTCACCAAATGTTATTTTTATTTTATTCCCAAATTTGTTTGTTGGTATATTATTTTATGTATAAATAGATTGTGAATAATAAAAGTAAAAATATCGAGTACATGAAAAACAATTGCAAAACATATCAAAAAGATGTATAGTATATATTCTAATATTTAATTAATATTTTTATTTTGTTGCAGACTTACCGAAGAGAAATTTCAGCTAATAAATGTAAGTATTTTTTGTGTTTTAAACCAAGGTATTCTTATATAATAATTTTGTTAATTTCTTATAAATATCCCAGCCGTGTACATTTAAGAAACCACCGTGATTTATTTCCGTTAGCTTTTTAAAAAATATTCCTAGCGGAAGAATTTATCTTAGAAATTAAACAATCTTATATGTTTTTTGAAATTGTTCATTGTATAAGTAATTGAATACCTTTCCGATGAATAGAAAAACAATTTCAAAACTTATTAAATGCAATCATATGATGGCTAACTACTTAATTCGTTCTTATAAATTATAATATAACTATTTATTCAAGTATAAAAAAATATTTTATAAACTTGCTGAATTTATTAATTCAATTATTTCTGTGAAATTATGGTAGTCTTTGTTTTATCTTAATTTATCAATTCAATTTGTTAACATTCACTCCTAATTTGATAGTTAGGTACTTACCACCATCTGCTATTGTTTATTTCTGCAGTATAGAGGTAGATGTAACTTTGACAACTACACGGCATTCTTTTTATGCTATTATTAATACATAATCTTATAGTTTAAATACTATTAAAGTAAGAATGAATATATATAATTTAGTGTTTTAAATTAAAAAATATGTGTTAATAATATTAACATTTGAAGTTGGAGAGAGGCACATTATATGTCCAATGTCCATGACTCCATATAGTGATGCTATCTGTATATGATGGCGATTATCAAAATCCTTTCTCCAGGTTGTGTGTCCAGTAACGAAAGCCCTTTTGACCCATTACATCACAATCAGAGGTGTTTAAAGTGAAATAAATGTTGCATGTTTTTATTACAAAATTAGCTTAACTCACAATGATTCTTCAATTATCTAACATTGTAATTGATAACTTATATACAATTACAAACTTAAATTTTAAGAATAATTAATTGAAAAATAAAAATAATTGCAATGTCTAAGGATTAAGTAATGATGTAGTGATAATAAAGTAGACTATTTAAAAAATTTAAATCAGTTTCTTCCTAAAATACGTTTTTTGATTAAAATAGAACAACATACTGTTGTACAATATGATCCTTAATTATTAATTATTATGGAGTATAGGTACATTTTTGTTTCAGTGGATTGTAACCTTTCACTCAAACCGTCCGGTCTTGTATTGTACTGTTATGAGTTATGACTATATATAACTTATTGAATTTAATGTGAATAGATTTTAAATATTTGTTTTCTAAAAATAAAAACAAATATTAGTGTATTATATTATGCACCAAATAAATGTATTTTTAGAAAAAAGGTAAATTTAATAAAATTAAAAATAAATCTTGTATTAATCATAATTTTAAAACAATCACGATACTATGTTTAAGTTAGATATGTATATAATATTATTACCTATATCTCAACGTACGTAAGATGTATGTATATGTTTATATACAGAATCAAGGCCGTAACCAGGAAAAACTTCTTTTTTTCGGAGGGAAGGGAAAAGTTAGAGCTATCAACGTTTTTATTTAGTATACCAACACAGAATTGTGTATTAAATCACAAATAAAAAAAATATTACAATATATCGTTGTTTTTGTAGGTATACACAAGAAACTCAATTACGTTTATTATTCAAAAGTGCATAGAGCGTTATTCATTTTATTTAATATTTTAGATTCTGAGCAGAGGGATATATACGATATTGTATTGACTTGTATTGATTTAACAATGATGTGTTTTATTCTTTTGTATGTACGTGTACATGCGATTAATTCTAGAAAAAATGTTTCGACTTTCAACTCCAATATCTTTTCTTGTAGAAAAATAAATCTATAGCTGGTATGTTTAGGAGATAAAAATAAAAATTCTAAATAGTTTTCAAAATAATAGGGAAAAAAAAAGATTAAAAGGACATCACATTCGCATTTCGCATATGTTATCTCCGTCTTACTCAAATTTTTGTTCACTAGTTTCAATAGTATGTAGTTAATTTTGATACAAAAGTGAATTGACCTATTATCAAACTCTCGGGTTAGAACATTATCTGTGTTCTCTCATCGGGTTTTTACCACTGGGAATTTTAAACGTATGCTTCACCAACTAGATTCATTTTCCTGCTAAAATAGATACAGAAAGCTTAAAATCGAAGCATTATTTTGACTACTTATCGTGTACAAAGATACAAAAAACACATCATTGTAAAATCAATACATTCGTCGCTTAGCTCAGAATCTAAAAATCCCTAGGTCAAAAACCTTGAAATTTGAATGCAAAGTTCCTCATTAGTTGTTATTGTAGCTATTTCAAAATATTTTAGATACCTACATAGGTACAATTTTTTTTACAAGCATTTGAGGTTTAAATTTGGGTGAACTTCAATATTTAAACAAAGAATAACGATATTAGGTAGTTATTTTGTTGTAATTTAATTCAAAAATATTTTTGAAACTTTTATACGCATGGTATTATATTTTTACACACTATGACATTTTCGTTTTGGGTTTAATTTTATACTATTGCCAATTTATGCCACTTACCAATAAAAATATCACTAATAAAATATTGAGTTGATAAATTGATACATAAATCTGTAAACGCCTATAAGTCTAGAAAAAATTATACATATACTCGTGTAACTTTAGAAAAATTTTCATTGATATAAATTTCATATAAATGTACTCTAACTTGTTTTACACATTGCTTCCTAATACTGTTCAACTTGTATTTTTAAAAAACACAGAGAAAATCTTTAGTGAATTATTATTTTTTTTTTATTTCCGCGTGACGTAATTTATTATTACAGTGGAATTCACATTTAATATAGGTACCTAGTGGGTACACAATATTCACATTATATACAATGCATTATGTATAATATGCAAGTCGGTACATCGCATCGTTACTCTGGTAAGTATAGGTACGCAGTAAACTATTCAGTATTCTATAATACACATGAAACTTGTTATTTGCATCAACATCATCTCTAAGCATTAATCTATACACTTTAGATTTTAAATCCTTTCTACTGGAGTGCACATTGTTATAATATTCAGATAAACATTATGTTTGCATTGTTACTATTTACGGTACATGCATACTTCAATTTAAAAACAAGGGGAAAACTATATCGGTCAATTGTATAATTAAGGGTTGTGGTGTATGATGAATTTCCGGAATGCTGAACATTTGGTTGGGTAAAATGTCAGTTTTCCGTCGTGACTATTTATCAATATTTAGAATTTTAATTCAACAATATTCTCTAGAATATTTCAGAAAATGATATGGAGAAGAGAAAGATTATATAAATTTAAAATAAATACGGTTAATCGAAAAACTTGTCATTTTCCTTTACAAATACATAATATATTATATATGTTATACTTTGACGTACTTCACTTTTTACTCGTGTAGGTGATTATTCCACTCATAGTCTATTTATTATTCATGTTATTACAACTTATTTAGCCTCTTTTATTCAAATTAAAATAAGTTATTTTATTAGGTACCTGAACATCTTATTAATTAATTTATATACCTATAAAGGAAGTTTGATGTGCATATTCATCAACTTTGAGATATACTTTTATTCTATGAATTCAAAAACTAACTCATAAGTCTGTAACTTAACTCTAGTATATTAATGTTAATCAGTCTAAAAAAAATCTAAACTAAATAGGTGTTTACTATATACTTATTATGTTCAAAATATTCATCATTAGCGTAAATAATTAGTTAGAATTTTAGAATACTTAGAGCTTAATTTACTTTTCTTAGCTTTTAATATATAAAAATCTATACAACACTTACTTTTCCAAAGTTTGAAACTTGTGTTGTAAACAATTCTAACAGTTCTATTGTAATTAAATTTGCCCATATTTAAAAGCATAAAATATTTGATGAATCAATTATTGTGTAGGTATTCGACCATATATTTTTATTATGTCTATTAAATCATATTGTGTTTTTATTAATTCACTTTTTTTTGTAATTTTTTTATATAACTTTTTAGTAGAGTTCTTATCTCACACAATATTTATTAATCTTAAAAAAGGAATGTATTTTTAAACTTTTTTACTATGCTTTTAAATATATTTTGAATTAAATAGTTACTCAAAAAGAAATTTATTTAGAATCCAGTACTTATTAGTATTGTTTTAAGAGTTACTGAGTCATTTTTAAAGAATTCAAAAACAAAATTTTTGAAAAATTGTTTTTAAATTTATCTAGTGTGATTATTTTTTCGAGTTATTTTCATTTATTCAAAACAAAAATTCTGCATAGTATATGTACACTAATGTTCTCCATTATGAAATTAATTCTATTTGCGACTTTTGTTTAAATAAGTTTAATCATAGTAAAAGATGTTTCTGCAGAATCGTACACCATTACTGATAGATCAAATAATTACAATATATATACTATGCTCATGAGTGAAACATGTAGGTAACAAAAATGAGATAATTCTACTCTTTTAGTATTGGGATATTTAAAGCGAACCCATATGCATTTCAATCCGTTCATGAATAACTGTTAGTAATTTTTTACAGATATTTTCATACGCAAAATATATTTATGTATTTAATTAATACTATAAATTATTAATATTCCCTTTAAAAGAAATTTCTATTCGGGAATTACGTTGGCATATCCATATAAAACATACACACCCAAAGTATTGTAATAACTACGAATTCGCCTGGAGCTATGTAGACGCTTTCGATAAACACCGACAATCGGTTTCCGGTGAGTTAGTCCGGAAGTAGTCGCGAAACCATTACACAAACACAATCGCGGAACTGGATCACGAATATTTTGAGACACTGAAACACTAGTTCTCCGTTCATGGGCTTATTTGAATATTTATTGTAGTATGTCTCTAGTCATGATTATACAACCACCTAATGAGAAACTTCATTACAAGTGGGTAGAATCGATAATGACGTATACCTAAATACGAAGTATAATGGAGGCGTCATGTTTTACGAAAGTGTTTAATGGTACGACCGTTATTAAAAGTGTAGTCAGA